GCGATCCACACGAGATATATGTATTCTAGGCGAACAAATGAAAAATCTGACGGTAGGTAGCCGTGAGTATTTAAAAAGCCATACGCACGTATATGGGAATGTGTGTATGTATGTATGTGGGGAAGAGAAAATTAATCTTGCTTTTCGCTGGCGGAAATTTTGCAATTTTGCGAGTAAATTTTTAAATACACATTTGATTAATATAGAGTTTTATTAGCCGTTATATTGTATTTAATTTTATCCTTGGAAGGTCCTGGTGCACATTAGCACGGCATATTCAAAAGTGGACGAAGTAGTCATTGATGAAACTGTGCATCCAGTGGAAGCAGATTGGAGAAAAACAATTCAAATTGTTGAAGCTTTGGACGATGACATTTTGGAAGTATTAAAGCCAAAGTAAGCTTGAAAACCTGTTTCGATAATATTGCTGCATGCATTACTGGTTTGAGGACATTCTATACATCTGAATAACTTGTGATTTTACAACGGTGACATCACAATTTATCGTTCAGGAAGCGATTTTGCAAGTAGAGCTTAATAAATTTTTTAAATTTATATTCAAAGTGATTTTTGTAATAGTAAATTCAACAACTTCTGATATATTTACAATGTATTCTGGAACAATTGGAAACGCTTAAATACCAAATTTTTTGTAGATACATAGGCATGATGCCAAATCAATATATATTTTCCAAAAGACTCGCGGAACAGGTAATAGTCGATTACTCCCGATCGTTGCCGTGCGTAATCTGCAGACCGTCTGTAGGTACAGTATTATGAATAAATATACTGCATTTATGCGGCATATATATGTTTTCTACCATTATTCCTTATATCGTATACCTTATACTGTGATCAAAAAGTTTCCGAAATTTATTTTCCGAAAATCGCGGAAAAACTGTAAACCAAATACGTTAGCTTTTTTAAGTTGGTACACATGTCCTTTGCTTTGGGTGAAAAAATCATGGCCTTCAAACCTTTGAGAATGGCAGTTATTTATGTCAGTGAAGAACTTGTGTTCTGCAATTTTTATCATGTAGAAAAATATGCAGCAAAGGATTTGTTCGAAATTTTGTGTTGCATACAAAATTTCGTTGGCAAACGCATTCAAAATGTTGCAAGAAGCTTATGACGATGATTGATTGTCGAAAATAAGTACGTTTGAATAGTTTAAGAAGTTTCAAGAAGGCCGAAAATTTGTTGAAGACGACCCACGCTCTAGAAGACCATAAAGCGGATGACGCTCACGTTGAGAAAATGAAAGAATTTGTGCGCAAAAATCGTCGATTCATTGTGCGAGAGATAATAGATTGGTATATCATTTGGATCGTGTCAGCACATTTGTCCACTATACTGCATATGAAACGTTTCGTATCTCACTTGATTTCGGTAAACCTGAATTTTCTCCAAAAAGAGAAGCGAGTGTTGCTGTTGTCTGAAATGTTTTCTACTGTATCCAGAGACAGCACATACATGAAACGGATAATAACGGGTGACGAAACTTGGGTATATCAATACGTCGAAACAAAGCAACAATCATCGGAATGGCATTTGAAAAATGAAGCAAGATCAAAAAGAGTTCGCCGTTTGCAGTCAAAAGTCAAGGTCATGTTCACGGTTTTCTTCGATCATTACGGTGTTGTGCACCAGGAATTCTTTCCAACTGATCAAAAAATCAATGGAGAATACTGCTTGTCTGTCAAGAGGCGTTTACGCAAAGCAATCCCTAAGAAATGGCCGGAATTGTAGAAAACCACCACGGGGATTTTGCATCATGACAACGCACCATCGCATGTCTCGACTCTTGTGCGT